GCTGAGGCCGGAAGTGGCTCTAGCACAGCCTGGGGACTGGAACTTCTGCTGCGCCCTTGAGCGTCAGGGCACGAGGCATCTTAGCCACCCCCTTTCTGGGCCTCAGATTCTTCAACTGCCAAATGGGCCCCCAAATCCTCCCTGAGATACTGCTCTTTGATTGGAGGTTTGTTTCCACTCTCCCCCTCACCCACCCTCCCCTTGACAGTGTCCCCGAGGCTGCTGGTGACTCCCATGACAGAGAGGACACTCCCTCCCCAGCCCCCTGACAAACCAGCCACGCCCTCTGGGCTCCAGTGCTTGGCGGAGCCCTGGTCCCACACAGCCCAGGGCCCGGAGGTACCTGCAAGGAATTGAGGCCCACGGTAGCGTAGGCCCAGGCCGGGCTGAGGTGCACCAGCACGCTGACCAGCCAGGTCAGGCCCAGGACGGGCAGTAGGACCAACACTGGCTTCACGGCGGCCCCGTGGGACAGCAGGCTGGACTGAGGGAGGCCAGGGGGCCAGAGGGCTCCCCACGGGGTTCTGGGGAGGGCAGCCCTTGGAAGGTGCCTGGAGAGGGGTCGGGGCTGCAGACTGGGGACTGAGGCTCAGGACTTAGGTGTAGCTGGAACTTACGGCTGGACCTGGTGGCCCCTTTTCAGACACCCAGAGTGACATGAGTAGGGGTAGTGGCACTGGGGAGATAGGGTCCCAGACCCAAGCGGGGCTCAAAGGAAGGGAGTGGCAGCTGTCCAGGGGGAGGGCTGAGGCCTGGACAGTGGGTCCAGGGGGTATGGAGTCTGGAAGGGGACCCCTGGGGCTGCCTGGCTTTTCAGGCCCCACTGGCTTGGGCTGCCCTGCCCTTGGCAGAGGGATGGTGGTGAGGAGGAAGGCTGGGGGTGGTGTGCCCGCTCCAGCAGGATACGGTCCTGGAGAGTGATGGGGATTCTTGGCAGGGGTAGAGACCTAGATTCTCACCCTGAACCTGAACTTCTAGGGACTGCCTGACTTGGGGGTCTCCTCTACCTTGTCCCCACCAGGCCATGAGTGCTTTCTGCAGAAGGTGAGTCCCCAGGACAGTGGCTGGTGTCCACACCCCACGTCATATACACACAGGCTCAATTACCATCCGCACAGGTAACACGCATGGGCACAGACTTCCACACGCCCACACGCATGAGCATGTGTGCACATGCAGCACAGACACACTGCAGACATATGCTCATTTATAGCCTTGCACTCATAAGCACACATGGCCACACCTGGCTCCCCCCACTTCTTCTTGACTCCCCCAGTCTGGGGCCTCACCACATCTGGATCGGGATCTGCTGCTGCACACAGGGCTGCGGGCTCAGCGTGCAGGCACGGCGGCGGGCCCTGGACACGGTGACAATCACCACACGGACCAGGATGCAGGTATTGGCCTGGAGATCTGGTATCAGTGGGGGCACCCTCCCCCTTCCCCGACACATCCCTCCCCTGCAGGGCCCCCAGGCCTCCCCGCTCACGGTCAGCACAGGCCCCACAAAAGCCCAGATGGCGTCTGTGTGCACATTGAGCCAGCAGTGCCCAGTGGCCACGTAGTCATGGGGGGACACGGCCAGGGTGATGGCCACGATGGCCACAGGCACGCCTAGAAGAGGTGACCTCAGGACCGTGTCTCTCGGGAGCCAGCCCCCGTCCAGAGCTGCATCCTCCAGCTGTCCCATAGTAGTGGGCGTACTGGCCGCACTGGGAGATCCAGGGAGTGGGGTTGGGTGGGCCTGATATTTTGGGTGGCACTGGAGCCCCGAGTAGTTGGGGAGCGGAAGAGCTGAGATTGAGTCGAGGCCTTAGGGCTGAGAATCAACAGAGTTGGAAACTGGCGATTGGCGTGGGGTTAGCTGGCTTCAGATTAGGGAGGCAGGACCGGGGGCTGGGAGCTGAGGCAGCTGAAGTGGAGGAGGATTAAGAATTGGAGCTGGGGGCTTCCCTGGTGGCGCAGTGGTTGAGAGTCCGCCTGCCGATGCAGGGGACAAGGGTTCGTGCCCCGGTCCGGGAAGATCCCACGTGCCGCGGAGCGGCTGGGCCCGTGAGCCAGGGCCGCTGAGCCTGCGCGTCCGGAGCCTGTGCTCCGCAACGGGAGAGGCC